GAATCCTATGCGATGCACGGGTGAGAGATATTAATTTTTTTTTTCAAAACGATAGATTATATTATAAATCAAAATGCACAAATGTGCGAATACACAGCAGTCAACGACTGAATATACAGCAGTCAACAACTGAAAAAGTGGGAGGACAGGTCAGAAGACCGCCTAGAGTCCCGCTAGCAACGCTAGAATAAAAACTCGCCCTAAACAGACCAACTACTCGACCACGACCCCAAAGGGGTAATAACAACACTACAAAACACAACAAACAATACAAAGGCCCCAACAGGGTAATCCCCGAGTGTCGGGCCCCAACGGGGTAATAAGGTGACACCCGGGCGTACAGGGGCCAACGGCCCAAACCTAAAACACAAAAAACATACACGAATACAGACACAAACATCACAAAACAATAACGACAAAATAAACAAAACAACTATGAACTGAAACACAACCCTCCTTCAGCAGATACGACCGAGATTGAACAGCAGACAAGGCCGACTACAGAGAAAGATCCAAAGCACAGGAACTCCACCCGCCACTGCCAATGCCTAGCAAGACGAAGACCCGAGCCTCAAAACAGTCCAATAAAATCGACCCGCTCTCCAACCACTAGAAACCACAATCGACCCCCAACCGGCTAACACCACTAGCCAAGTCCGTCACCATCCCGAAACTGCCTAACACCACTAACCAATTCCGGAAACGGTCGGCCTCCCATCGACTCAAAAAGAGCAAAAGGGAGGAAGGGTTCGAATGGCATCCAAGCCCCGCCGCTCGAACACAACCCGACTAAGCAACAATCTTCCCCCGACCCGGCACACGAGGTCAGGACCCCGCCTCAACTTCCTCACAACTCCGAGACTGGCTAGAACAGCGAAACCGGCGAGAGCAGGGGAAACAAGACCTGCGACCACCAGACCCAGCCAAGAGAAAGAAAAATCGCCCCTGCTAGAGTTGAGATGAGCAGTCGAGCCACCTCCAAGGACTGTCGACGCGCCAACTGAAACCCACCCCTCAGGACAGCCGGCGGCCATCTCGCAGAGCGGCGAGAAAACCCTAGCTCGCCCTTTTGGCTTGAGTCACCGAATCCGAGCATTTCAGACCAAAATTGGAGGCGCAGCGGGAGAGCCATCCACCGGCGATGCCGGACAACTGCTAAAAGAGGCTCAAAACCGGCAGATCGGAGCTACACGCAAGATTAATTGATACTTATAAATTAAAAATGCTTATTAAATAATAATAATAAATAAAAATATGAATTCAATATGTAATGCTCCCCTCCTCCCTATATTAATTTATTTCAAATGTTATATGAAAGACAAGTTGTGCGAAATTGCATTAAATACATCTATTGAAATTAGTACACAACTCGTACGGTGCACATAACAGGTAATAAATTACATCATTTCATATCAAAATAAGTGTCAATTTAATTTTTTTACTTGGATACTAAATTAAATTTAAGATGTCTGAATTTTGTGCTTGAATGATTTGTAAAGTGAAACATAATTTTTTCAAAATTCATATAAAACTGAGATGATATAAATAGTCATGTACAAATTCGATTACCAAAGAGACAAATAGAGAACATAAATGTCTATCTTAATCATATATATAGAATTAGAATTAAAATTTATATTAACCATGACCTAAAATTGCATATTTTTATTATTCTTAGAATAATTTTGTTGTTCACTTTAAAATTGAAATTATATTTGGCTAGATTTTGTTAATAATATATAAAAATTAAGCAGATTTAATTTCTCGTATCCCTTTTATATATAATTTCATAACGTCCTAAGTTTAAGTGGCAAGTTCGCACGCTTCAGATGTTGACATATTAAAATGACATGCGTCGTAATTTGGTTTGTATAAATAATATTGCTTTGAATTCATGTTTTGGTACTTGACATAAATAGTTTATTTCCAATGTTGGTAATTATGCATTTATATTTGTCATTTTTCTCTTTCTCAAAATCAAATCATACCATAGGAAACTCATATTATTTATTCTCATTTATTTCATTTATTAACTACCATAGCTTATTATTATCATACTTTAAAAGATAATAACTTTTTTATATGTAGCCCGTTTTTCAGATATGAATTATCAAATTAATTATTTTTTGACAATTTTCGATTTTACATCCATATCAAATATAGAAATTTAAAATTAATTCCAACTATCTTTATAAATAAAAATTAAACTATTTATCAATCCAAATTAAAAAAGACACATACAAATGGAACTATATATTATCTTAATAAAAAATATTTATATAAATATACCCAAAAATATTTTTTATAGTCTTAAGAAAAAAATATGCAAATGTTAAGTATAACTATAGAATGAAAAAGTCTACAATTTAGAAAAAAAAAGTCACTAAAGAGAAATCACAGTCTAGTTATACTTACGAATTGTTTATGAACATTTGCCTATATAGTTATACTTAAATATATGGAATAAATAATTCGTCTATGTAGTAGCCTAGTTATATTTAACAATTTGTAACATTTTCCCATATAGTACTGTTCACATCAGTTGCATTTTTATTGTGTAAAAAGTCATAATAAATAAACAATTTAGAAATAAATTATAAGATATATTTAATTCATAATTGTTTCATCTAAAGATTACACAATATAGAATAAATAATTCGAATTAAATAAGTTAAATAGCTTAAAAGGTTATTTCTTTTTAATTGTGTATATTTATTAGTTTTCTTAAAATATATTATTACGCAAATCAAATGATACACTTTATTCTTAAAGTTATTGTTTTAGGAAATGTATCTTGAGATATTAGAGACTTATATATGTGATTAGTATTACAATAATAAATCAGCCGAAATTACCTAAATTGTACTTTTAAAACATACCATAAAAGGTTTAAATTATTTCCATATTTAGTAAACAATATTGTTTTGGCGGAAAATAGTTACTATTTAAAAATAATCAAACATTTATATATATATATAGATTAGGAATCATAATATTATAATTTATATAAGATTCGTGCAAGATTGTCTATTCAAATAAAAGGAAGAAATTAATAAATGACATGTTTATAAATATATAAAGTAATGATAAGGATAAATAAATTTTAAATATTTTAAATAATTTAATTTCCTAAAATATTTTGCAAACTTCATAAATATTTAAATAAAATTTTGGATTTCCTAATATATTTTGCAAACTTTATAGTGTTTTTGATGGAACTATTCATCATCCTCCAATAATTTATTATCAATAATGTATAAATATGTGCATTGTTTATTAATTGGTAAATAATAATTTAATATAAAATTAGTATGATAAGATTAGTACATAATATTTTAATATAATTTGTATAATAGATGAGTGCACGCAACGAACAATCATATGCAAAATAGGACATTCGTTGACATAAGTTAGCAACGCGAGTGGAGTGTTCCTCTGGACACACCTTTGTGGTGTAATTGTGTGATCCAAGTGCTAAACTTTGTTGTGTCGTTTATAAGTATAATTCTTCTTAATAATTTTAATATTTTATTTATTAAAATAATTTTAACATTCATAAACAATTTTTTAATTTATAAATCACTCTAAATTTCTCTTACATTGAGTATGATAGTATTAATTAAGATAACTAAAGTTTCTCCTCTTAGAGGATCCACAATGTTTTGGGTTCAGTCACAAAAAATTATATGACACCTCAGAAATAGACATAGTCTAGAAAAATGTATTCTCCAATACAAACAAAAGTAGACTGAGTCATGCTGATGTGGCAGCCAGAAAAAGAGACTCGGTCTACCCTTAAGTCTATTTTACACTCAAGTATAGACCTAGTCTCTTTGCATTGGAATGATTTTATCAATTTTACATAATTTTATCCATATCATCCAAGACTTGGGTTTATTTACATGCCACATAGACAAGACTAAACTCAATGCATTGTAGATGCTCTTACATTAAGACTTGAGTATGAAAATACAGTTGCTACATACCATAAATAAA